CTCCCCATGACTCTCTCACATGCCCCCACTAGCACTAGTGGTGTTAATATTTCCCACCGTCTAGATCCTTGATCTTAATGGTGCCGTTTGTTCACACCATTATTCCTTGTGCTTGCTCATGGTTCCCTTGGGATATCTCAAGTCCCCGCCACTTTTCCTCCGTACTAGTTCTGTTTTCTTGTCCCGCCGGCGCGTGTTCCCTTTTTCGACTTTTATTATTTGAACCCACTTGGTCCCCGACAACATTCCGGACGGTGTCCCATTTTTTTTTTGGGACCCCCTTGCCCTTGGTGGCCCCTACATCTCTCCCTTAGGTCCCACATGTGTGCCAATTTTTTTCTAGGCCGTGAGATCTCATCTCACGGTTGCCGTTTACCGTCTCCACTTGCCTTATGCCGAAATTGTTCCTTTCTAGCCTTTTGGGCTCGTCGTGGCTCATTTTCCCTTAGCCTAGGCATCCCTATGCAGTCCGTTATTTCTCGGGCTGCGGTTATGGTCATTTTCCTAGTTCCACAACCCCACAATTTGCCCCATGCTAAAAGAAAATAAAGCGTTAAATTTCTAAGTGCATCCGGGCTCAATATTGGCTTCGGATGCACCAAGAACATGTGTTTTCCCTTCCCCATGCAGTCCGTTGCAACTCGGACTGCAATGGGGGTCAATTCCCTAGCCTCAATGCCCCACAACTAACCCTTACTTGAAAGAAAAAGAAACGGTCAACTCCCAAATGCATTCGGACTTGATTTTGGCTTCGGATGCACCTAGAACATGTGTTTATCCTTCCCCATGTAATCCGTTTTATTTCGGTTGCATGGGGCCTTAATTTTCTCTGATTTTTCTCTGCAAATTCAAAGAAAATCAAATTTCATTGCAACCGCCATATTCCAGAATGAATCTGGTCACGGATGTATCTCCCCAAGTGGCCATTTTTTATCGTTAAGGCCTTTTTCTCTTTTCTTTTCTTTTCTTTTCTTTTTCCTCCTTTCTTGGACAGTAGGGACCTGCCAGTCCCTACTTGTGGCAGTCCCTACTGACGACCAACTCACTCACTCCCTCTCACTCTTTTTGTTTTATTCTCCCACTTTTTTTTTTTTTTTTTTTTTTTTTCTAGCATGCCAAGTGTCAAGTGGCCGTTAACGTCCTTTTCTAGCCCCTTCCTCTTAGTTTTTGCCCTTCCTATGCCCAAGGTGCGGTCCGTTATATCTCGGACTGCAATAATGGCCTTCTCATGCCCAAGGGAGCTTCCCTTTAGTTCTATTTTCCTCCCATAGTGGCCCCTCCCACTCCAATTTTCTCCCGGAGGCCTATTTTTCACATGGGGCCTCTTTTGCCTCCATTTTCTTGAGGGAGGCTGATCCGAGATTTTTCGGATTGCTCCCATGCCTCCCACTTCAAGTTTCTTTACTTTTTCTTTTCTTTTCGGCCTTCCCGTTTGCTACCGCTAGTTCTTGCACTAGTGGTGCTAATATTCTTGGTCGTCAAGATCTCGATCTTGACGGTGCACCTTGCCTTTATTATTTTCCCTCATGCGGTGCCGCCGTTTCTTATTGGGACTTTCACATGTCCCCGCCATTCGTCCCGTCGATGGTCCCCGACACTTAGTCCCGCCGGTGGTCTCCGACACTTAGTCCCGTCGGTGGTCCCCGACACTTAGTCCCGTCGGTGGTCCCCAACACTTAGTCCTGCCGGTAGTCCCCGACACTTAGTCCCGTCGGTGGTCCCCGACACATTTTGCCCTAGATGCCATTATTTTTACCTCGTCCCATGTGGCCCCGGGTGCCTTTCCCCAAGGTGTCCCACGTCCCTTGGGCGCTTTGCCACCCCGCGGTGACCCCTCTCCCCTGTCTTTCTTGCGCCTTGCGCGCGCCTGTTCCTTTGGTCGCGGGCCTCCAACCCGAGGTTCCCGTAGGTGGGCCCCATGTTGGCCCTTATTCTCTAGGCCCCCTATGGCCTCTGGAGCCGTTCGTCTCTCGACTTCCTCATTCTTTTGTCGCTGTCGCACCGAGTTTGCTAGTTCAAGGGTCCTTTGGCCTTAGTCTTGTTGAGTTCCAACGGCCCTCCCGGTCTCATGCTATGTTCTATGTGCCCCTATTCTTGCACTTATTCTCTTGTCGTTGCTGGTTTTCTCCTCCTGTGGCCCTCACCCCAGGGCACCACTCCCTCCTGTGGACGAATCCTTTTTCTTTCTTCTCTCCTGCCTCCTCACTCCAGATTTCTCTGTCGTGCACAATTTGTCCATATTCAGTCTCTTGAGTGATGGGAAGTTATTCGGGACCCACCAGTCTCGACTACGGCTCAGCGTGGAAGGAGACAGGCATAGCCAGACCTTCGGAGCGTCGGCCATAGTTGGGACCTGCGCTGTACTCTGCCAGCACGCAGGGGCTGACAGATCGAGGTCTGCTGGAGGCGAGAGAGATTGGTGCCCTGCTGGACCCTCCTCCGGAGTGGGGTTCCAAGGTGGTGATGCTGCAGCCATAGCTGCAGCTTCCTTCTCAGAGGTCATCTTGTTAGGGTTTGGTGGCGCTGCTGCAGACTTCCACCCGGGAAGTCTTCCGACACTTCGTCATCATCAGAGACTGTGGCGCTGGTCTTCTTCTTCATCCTCTGAGTGGCGCTTGGCCTCAGGGGCCTATTTCAGGGTGGCGCTTCCCTCAGGAGGCTGTATTTGGGTGGCGTTTGATGTTTAAGGAGCTCAGGGGTGTTACGGGTGCTAATCAGGGTTGGGGAGTGAAGTGCTGCTCATTTCTGAGCAGCGCACTGTACTTCTGAAGTTATCCTGACAATTTGAGACTCCGAGTTTAATAAACAGTGTGCTATCATCGTTTCATTGTTTCTTGGATGTGATCTGCTCGGCTTTTCTTTATGACTGGTTGTGAGGATTGAGTGGAGTGAATTGCACTTTCAGTGTACCCTGTCATATTGCATGGTTAAGTCTTCCACTGTGTTATCTCTCCCTGTGCGGTGTGATACTCCTATCCTCTCCCCTTCCTTCTGTGTATGTATGGGCATACCTGGAAGTCCATGTGAGTGAGTGTTGGTCATCAGACAACAAACAACCAGAATCATAACAGTTGTTTGTCGTCTGTCGTAGGTCCGTGTAGCGGTAGGGGTTTGATCTGTAGGTCTGTCAAGTAGGAGTCACAGCTCTGTAGAGGTCGTGGTTCTAGATGCTCCGAAAGGTCAAGGTCGTAGCTGCTACAGTCCTGAAAGGTAAAGGTTGTAGCTGCTACAGTACCCGAAAGGCCAAGTCCACAGCCTTCCGGAAGGTCCGGAAGTGGCTTTTGGAAGTGTCCCGCGTTTAGTCAGAGGCAAGTGGTCAAGTGGTGGGCCTTTAGTCAGAGGCAAGTGGGCAAGTGGTGAGCCAACTGCGTTACGTCGGCAGTGTGACTGCATCGAGTTGGCAGTGCAAACCCATGAAGTCAGCGGCACCGGTCCCAGTCAGTCAGGGTCCAGTCAAGCAAGTACCGTGTGGGACTGTGTGCACCAAGGGCCTGGGAAAGGGCCAGACCAACGAGTTACAGAAGTATAAATCAAGAGGCAGCGCCCAGCCATTCATTCATTCGCTGCGTAAGCCATGCAGAAGCGCTACTACAGCGTCTTGTGCGAAGGTGGTCTGCAGGTTGCCCGAAGACGAAGTGAGCTGAAGGGAGATCGTAGCCATAATCAGTAGTGGTAGTGCAGCCAGAGCCGCTGTAGGAGGAAGTAGACACATAGCGTATGTGTGTGGTGGTATTCAGGGTGATCCAGAGTGAGCGTGTGTGAACAATGGGGTTGGACACTGTGACGAAGGTTGGGATGTTCAGGCGCTGATGCGCCATAGGCTGTTGAAGAGAACTTGCATCTCAACTGTGTTCTTGATTTCCATATCTCTAAGCTTTGAGTAGGCGCCCTGCGCTTTGAGTAGGCGCCCTGCGCCAGTGTGAGTCTCCATCTGTTTGCATGTGTGTGAAGTGGGAAGAAAGCGAGTCTGATTGCAATGAAATTATATATGTATATGTGTAAGTGTGCCGCTTCGGCAGCAGATGGGTGTGTGGGCACTTAGCACTGAATCACACAAACGTGGGCAACCTTTGCATTTTTACTATCTTGCCAATCCCTACTTTTTTTTGTTTTATGGATGGTTAATGATGATTGTGGAGGGGATTAGAATGAGAATCTGGGGTTCCTTAAACTCATACACACACACACAATGTATATGTGCAAGTGTGTCGCTTCGGCAGCAGATGGGGGTGTGGGCACTTAGCACTGAATCACACAAACGTGGGCAACCTTTGCATTTTTACTATCTTGCCAATCCCTACTTTTTTTTGTTTTATGGATGGTTNCATTTTTACTATCTTGCCAATCCCTACTTTTTTTTGTTTTATGGATGGTTAATGATGATTGTGGAGGGGATTAGAATGAGAATCTGGGGTTCCTTGAACTCACACACACACACACACACACACACACACACACACACACACACACACACACACACATGAGCATGTATCCATATGCACATGTCCAAGTGCGCCGCTTCAGCGGCAGATGGGTGTTTGGGAACTTCCTGCTCAACCACACAAACGTGGGGAAACTTGCACCTTCTGTTATATTGCTCATCCATAACTTTTTTTGTTTATGGGTGGTTTGTGATGGTATGAGGATGGAACGAGAGAGAGAGAGTTACGTGCACGTGTGCTTGCAGTGTGCGGGGAAGCATGGCACACCCAAGGAACTTGTGCCGCCCAGCACAAACGACAGATGTGCGTGAGTCAAGAATATGTTGCAACCACAGCGGAAACTGTCTAACACCCAACAATAGTGGCCTTGCTTTTTGGAAAATGCGCAAAAGATTCACAACTGCAAACACATACACAACTAGTTTTTTTTTGGGAGAGGGAAACCTGAGAACATATACACACACAGGCTAGAGTAAACAAGATACTCTTCCCTTTGCTCCTACCCGCGTGTGCAGTTCAATTTCTCTGTTGTTCTGTTGCAAAAATATCCCTCTGGACAGAACATTGCCTGGCTTCGAGAGGCAAGGCCCCAAAAATCAGCACCTCCGCATCCAAGTCCCAAAGCAGGCTGGTACGCATACCTTCACACACACACACACACACACACACACACACACACACACACACACACAGAGTATGCAAGATAAATTCACAGAAGCAATCACTTAGATAAGCACTCGGTAATCTCCTTCAGAGCATTTTCTTGCATGTGTTTTTTCAGAGTTTTTCCCCTAACGACGCCTGACATCCAGGATGCAGATTCTTTCGTGAGTTTTCTTGTTGACACTTGTCAAAGTTTTTTGGATAGCACTTAATTTCCCTGTCCGTCCCGGTTATCGCATAGTCAGCTTTACTCAGACAGAGACTTGTTCGTGGATATTTCAGAAAGCTAAAGAAAGGTGTGCGGCTTGGCCATTCTGTCTTCAATCACAGTCAGTGGTTCAATGTAGGCATACATCCGTTGTCATGTCAACACAGAATCACTGTGGGCCATGTCCGCTGTACTGGAAGATTGGACAGCAGACAGCATATCGGCATACAATCAACGTTTTAGAACTTCACCACTGCAGCAACATACATTAAACCACCAGTCCATCGGACCCTAAATTGTCGAAGCAGTATTTTCCCATTTCCGAGCCTGTGTGCTACAGTACCGTCAGCAGACGAAAATTCAACCGGTACCGGTGCCCCCTCTGTCTTCTGAACCTTGTGTCCAAAGAACAGGCCGAGTATGTTTCTTTTTTTCTTTTTTTTCTTTTTTGCTTTTCCAGTTTTGGAAGATTCCTTGTTTTCACTTAGTCGGGTGTCGGGGTGCCGTTATAATTCAGTAGCTACATCTGTGAGGAAGAGCAATCGCGGCCACTGCTGATACACACACACAGTCTCTTCGCGCCTCCACCGTGTCCTGACCGCTGCCATGGCCATGGTGGCCGTGCGCGTGATGGCCGGGATTTACTATTATCAACCATCTGTCACGGCGCCCCGACTCGCACATGTCAAGCAGCACGCACACACACACACACACACACAAGTTGATGATTGTGCCCACGGAACAGACTCGCACAGTCATGCTTTTCTTTGTCGATTGATGATTACCAGATGCGACTACACACACATACACACACACACACACACACACACACACACACACACACACACACACACACAAACAGACACTCTGGCTCTCTCACTCATCCGCACTGTGGCAGTAGCACATTCGATGCAAACTTCGGTGGTGTTGCAACAGAACAGACCGCACGCGGACGGGAGAGAGGAGCGCTCTGTAAGAGCTATAAAACCAGCACCACCATGCACCGTGCCATCGTGCGCGATTTGAAGCTGGAGAAGGTTTCCTTCATGCACTCACGGCGGCACAGTGCATGTGAGTGTGCTGGTTCCTATGGCCTCAATCCTATGCGTGTGAACCCCTGGTGGGTGAAAAGGGGGAGAGAGAGAGAGAGAGAGAGAGAGAGAGAGAGAGAGAGAGAGCTGTCTCTTATACACATCTAGATGTGTATAAGAGACAGGTGCACCATGGGCCCGGTGGAAAGGGCCAGACCAACGAGTTACAGAAGTATAAATCAAGAGGCAGCGCCCAGCCATTCATTCATTCGCTGCGTAAGCCATGCGGAAGCGCTACTACAGCGTCTTGTGCGAAGGTGGTCTGCAGGTTGCCCGAAGACGAAGTGAGCTGAAGGGAGATCGTAGCCATAATCAGTAGTGGTAGTGCAGCCAGAGCCGCTGTAGGAGGAAGTAGACACATAGCGTATGTGTGTGGTGGTATTCAGGGTGATCCAGAGTGAGCGTGTGTGAACAATGGGGTTGGACACTGTGACGAAGGTTGGGATGTTCAGGCGCTGATGCGCCATAGGCTGTTGAAGAGAACTTGCATCTCAACTGTGTTCTTGATTTCCATATCTCTAAGCTTTGAGTAGGCGCCCTGCGCTTTGAGTAGGCGCCCTGCGCCAGTGTGAGTCTCCATCTGTTTGCATGTGTGTGAAGTGGGAAGAAAGCGAGTCTGATTGCAATGAAATTATATATGTATATGTGTAAGTGTGCCGCTTCGGCAGCAGATGGGTGTGTGGGCACTTAGCACTGAATCACACAAACGTGGGCAACCTTTGCATTTTTACTATCTTGCCAATCCCTACTTTTTTTTGTTTTATGGATGGTT